ACAAGTGTTCTAGCATTGAGGGAGTACTTGAGTATAGGCCCAATGTCCATCTGTAATCTTAATACTAAACCTATAAATAATATGCACATAGATCTATTTCCCCATCATCATATATAAATATATTTACATATGTACATGCCTGTATTTAGACCTCTATAAATGCCCTGTGCCTCCTAGTTCTTTCCTCTTATTTCCTTTTACTTTCCTCTCATCCCATTTTCATGCTCAGTGTTCATTTGAGTTTCAGTAATTCCTTTCAGTTACATTGCCCTTGGTCAAGCCTTACCAGGCCTCCTACACCCTCCTCACCATCGATTTTGGATCACTTGTTGTTCCCTTGTCCCTGGGTTTGTTAAACCCACTTCCTTTCCCCTCCCCTGCCTCCCTATCTCCCCTTACCCTCCCCCTCCCCCCTCCAGAAATGTAGGTCCTATTGTTTTCTCCTCCAGATTGTTTATCTCGCCTATCTTATCTAGATAGTCCTGCAGAGATAATAACATGCACAAAAAACAAGACAGAGCAAAACAAACCAACAATAACATAAAACCAATGACAAAAAAAAAAAAGAAAAGCCTGTAATTAGTTCAAAAAAAAATATGGAACGCTTCGCAAATTTGCATGTCATCCTTGCACAGGGGCAATGCTAATCTTCCCTATATCGTTCCAGTTTTAGTATATGTGCTGCCAAAGCAAACATGAAGTAAATATTTACAGAAACACACAGCCTATCTTTCTCCCACTCAGCATTGGCCGGTTTGAACTCCTAACCTTGCAGTCCAAAGCACCACCAGAGCTCCTTTTGCTTGTTCTTAATGAGTACAATCTCATTCCTTAAACTCCAACGGAAAAAATCTTTCATGCAAAGATTCATGTATATAATGACTTTTAAAATCTTATACATTCTTAAGTATGGGTACAGGTAAGGACAGGATCAACTGTTATATACAAAGTCCAAACTAAATGATCCCAAAATCATCTTTGTGGAATTTAATGTCTGAAACTTAAGCTTGGTATGAAATAAATTGAAATATATTCCAAGTTAAAGGAATTCTGTGAAATATATCATTTATCTGTCCCCTCTAGAAGATTTCTAATTTTATAAGGTGCCCTGATGGTACAGGGGGCTAAGCCATTGGTTGCTAACCAAAAGGTTGTTCATTCGAACCTACCAGCCATTCAACTGGAGAAAGATGTGTTATCTGCTCTTATAAAAATTTACAACCTTCGAGACCCTAGGAAGCAGTTCTGCTGTGCCTTACAGGGTCTCTATGAGTTGGAATCACTTTGATGACAGTGAGTTTGGGTGTTTGATTCACCACTTGAATTCAGGGAAAGATTACTTAAAAGAATAACATGAGTAACAACAATGAAAAATACAACTTTCCTCTAGTTCCTAAATGTTTCCTCCCCGCTCCCACTACCATGACTCGAATTGGACCTTGCAAGTCTGGCTAGACCAGAGGATGTACACTGGTACAGATAGGAACTGAAAATACAGGGAATCCAGGGTGGATGAGCCCTACAGGACCAGTGGTGTGAGTGGCGAAACAGGGAGGGTAGAGGGAGAGTGGGCAGGAAAGAGGGAACCGATTACAAGGAGCTATATGTGACCTCCTCCCTGGGGGACGGACAACAGAAAAGTGGGTGAAGGGAGACATCGGACAGGGCAAGATATGACAAAATAACAATTTATAAATTCTCAAGGGCTCATGAGGGAGGGGGGAGTGGGGAGGAAGGGGAAAAATGAGGACCTAATGTTGGGGGTTTAAATGGAGAGGAAATGTTTTGAGAATGATGAGGGCAATGAATGTACAAATGCGCTTTACACAATTGATGTGTGTATGGATTGTGATAAGAGTTGTATGAGCCTCTAATAAAATGATTTAAAAATAAAAAAGAATAACATGATTAACAGTGATTCCTCTAACAACTGCTAACACTGGACAGCTAACTGTACTAAATGCTCCAAGTGAATTTCACCCAGAAATTCCTCACAACAATGCTGGGTGAATTGACTGAATTCAGGGCCCTGTTGAGTTTTCTGAGACCACACAAGTACAGTGCAATCTGAATGGACCCCCCTTTGATGTGCAGGACTGCAGCCCTGGTTACATTATTATTTTGTACAAATAAGTAAAATAAAGCACGGAAAAGTTAAGTAACTTGTCGATGGATACACAGCTAGAGGACATGGAGCATGAATTTGAACCTAGGGAGCTTCTGACTATGTATAGTAAAGTTGCTGCCTGCTCCCACTCAGCTGATGCAAACTCAAAGATTTATACTCAACATGAAGTAAAGGGGTAGGGCGGAGATAATTTTAGGAATGCAGAGGAGGGTGGTGGCGAGTATGGGGTGAAAGGGTATGTGTGAGATGGAAAATCTCAACTTGCTCTGGCTTCAGACTGCCCCAGTTCTAGATGTCTTTCATAATGAGACTGTCTTATCACACTGAAAGTAAATAGTAAATATTTAAAGTTTTTTCATATCAGTGTCCTAGATGCATGACTTCTGTATCTAGTTTTCAAGAAGATAAACAGTAATCTGTTCTATTGCCATAGGAAGACCACTTGTGTTGGGTTTATTAAGAGGCAGTATATCCGTCTCCAGTAAAATACTTTCCTAAGGCATTCTCAAGGGTAATGGAGACAATCTTCAGTTTTCACGTAACATGATATCATGGATGGAATTGGGGCTCCGATCTGTGTTGTAAATCCTAACCCCTATGCTGGTTATAATCCCATTTGGGAATGGGTTTCCCTTGTCCACATTGGTATAGAGCATGTAGAAAAGAGAGCCTGTGTCTTCTAGGGCAGAGACAGACTTTCATCACACTGGTTGAGGGCAGCACTTTGTGCCAGAAGAAATGGAGTTCACTCAAGGAAAGAAAGATTCCCTTGAGGATTTTATAATGATATTTTTTTAAAAGAGGGGGGTAATCATCTTTAGAGGAGTAGAAGCATCCCTATCAATTATATTGTAAAATATATCTAAATCAGCACAACTGATATAAACTGTAAAGGCCACAGACTGTTGGCAGCATGCAAGAAATGCTTTTCCCATGAGCCCTTTCTGGAGAACAAGGTTCCGACAATGAAAATGATTACAGAAGGATCAACAGAGAGAATGGTGAGCACTAAGTATGTGGTTGCGGGTTCAGACGAGAGGCTCTAAGAACCACGTGCTCTGATAATGTACAGGCAGAGGGTTGCTCTGAGTCAGAGCCGCCTCGGTGACAGTGGGAACAGCCACTGCAACCATGGAGGGAAAGGGGGCAGAGGACATATTAAAAAGTGTCAACATTTTCACTCGTATTTGGCAGTAAAATGAATATTGTTATCTTGAGACGTGTGTAATATCATACGTCCTTGAGAACTAGCGCTCTTGATCCCGGGGCAGGGGGAAGGGGGTGTGTGAAGAGATAAACATGTAATAGAGAGGAATTTGAACAAAAGCTCTGTAGTCTTGAATCTAAGTCAAGTTTTGCCATCCTTGCAAGCTAACAAGTTAGCCTATCACAGTTTCCTGGGTCAGAGACAAAGGGCAGTGGATGGATTCTGGCAGTAGCAGTTGCCAAGGTGGCAGCATTTTTGTGGGTTCTCTGCGCCCCAGATCACACAGGCCATGTGAAGAGGGCAGAGGACACCTGACAGTTCAGGAGAGGGACACTGGACTTGGGCATCTCTAATCTTTTTTAGTGAGAATAAGCATGCCTGTCTATTGCTCTAGAGAGATGCTCTCATGGGGCTAGAAGCAAACTGCCCTTAGCTAGGGAAGGACACACTGTCTCTATTGGCCAAAGCGGTTTACTATCTAAACACCTTTCCAGAGTCTGAAACAAAGCACAGTCAAGTGCAAGATATGCACAAACACAAGCCACTCCTGGAGAGTTGTCTCCCAACAGAAGTTCGAACTTGTAACGTATTTGCTAGTTGTGTCTGCTGAAAAGAACTAGAGCCTATGACCACCCGGTAACAAGGAGCAATCTGTACCAGATTATGGCCTTGAAGTCCAACTTCCTAAAGGAAGGAGGGCTTTTTGAAGAAATGGCTAAGTACAGGGCCGAGGCAAGAAATTTTTAAAATAATCCTGGATTATCTTGTTATACCATAGCAAAGAAAGTGTCAAGGATCCTGTCAAAAATCTTATGAAGAGGTTCCCATTGGCCAAAGATAAGACAAGCTGAGCTTTAGTAATTACAATTGATTTTAACATTCCAGATATGCTTAAATCCTTGAGAACATAATGGTATTTTTTTAAATGGGTCATCTTTAGAAGATTAAAAGAATCTCAATTATATTGTTGAATATAATATTCAAATTGATATAGAATTAAACTGATAAAGGACAGAATCCAGCATTTAGCCTACCTCTCCGCTCTCACTGTTGTTTCTGCTGTTATTTGCTGTTGAGCCAATTTGGACTCATTGTGACCCAGGTGTGCAGGGTACAATGGCTCTATAGGGTTTTTAAGGCCGTGACCTTTCCAAACTGGATTGCTGGGCCTGTCCCTGCAGCACCTCTGGGTGGATTTGAACTGCTAACCTTTCAACTAAAGGTCAAGCTCTTAACAGTAGATGAGGGAAATTGTGTCTTTATAAATGAATTTTAACTACGGAGCAAGAAACGGCAGTACGAGATCCCCACCATTTCACAACCAATGAGGCATCAAAGGCTGTCACGATGAGAGGACGAGAGAAAGAAGCACGGGACTTGCCAGGGCACTTAAGCCGGAGGCTGATGCAGTCTCTGTATGCAGCTGTCACTGCAGTAGGCAGACAGCAGAGGAGCAGGTAGAACTGCCCCAAGAGTACGCAGTTCTACAGACCAAACAGCTCACGTTCTGCAACAGATAATGTGTAGGAAATTAAAGAGGCAGATGATGTGCTTGTAGATTCACAGAAACTTTAAAAACATGTCAAATATTTTTAAATGGGTAAGACTAAACTGTAGTACCTAGGGGTGTACATTTAGATTATGACTACAATTATAATAAAGAAGTGCTCGTTAGAATAATGCTTACTCTTGGAGAAGGGATAAGATTGTGACTGGAGTGGGGCATAATGTGCTACACACAGAGCTGCTAACCACAAGTCAGTGGTTCAACCCACTAGCTACTCCTCAGGAAAAAGATGAAGCTGTCTGCTCCCATCAAAGGGCAGCTCTGTCTGTCTTATGTAAGGTTAGGGTCAACTGTTCAAATCAGCTCCATAGTAAGGAATTTGGGCCTAGATTTAGAAATTGTGTGTGATACCGTTCCCACTCTATAGATAAGAAAAAGTTAAATTTTAATACATTCTTGAGAACTTGGGATGATATTCAGAATTATTCAACATTATCAAATTATTATGTTACTGAGTATTCTCTAAGGATCCTTGGTGACATTGTGTTGTGCATTGGGCTGTTAACCACAAGGGAAGCTGTTCAAAACCACCTGCTGCCCCATGGGAGAAAGATGAGACTTTCTGCTCCTGAAAAGATTTACAGCCTTAGAAGCACACAGGGCCAGGTCTTTGTCTTTTCTAGGGTCGCTGTGAGTCAGAATTGACGGCAGGGAGTGAGTTCTCTTATATATGTCACCCTATTATCCTAAGACTGAAGAGGGTAGTTCAATGTAGACAGATCATTCTCTCTCTCCATATAGATAGTTATATAATACCCCTGGATTACAAGCGTACATCTTAGGTTCTGTACATACATAGGTCTTAAATGAATTGTATGTAGGATCATGATCCCTTTCAAAGTGGAATCCATTAAGACTTGGGTTCTTAAATATCCTTAGGTGGCCTACATCATGCAGCTGCCCGAATTTCTGGTGACAATGTCTACAAGCATTTGAAGTATGAAGGTGGGATTCACCGAGTGCAGCGGATTCCTGAGGTTGGCCTCTCATCAAGGATGCAGCGCATCCACACAGGAACGATGTCAGTTATTGTCCTTCCTCAACCAGACGAGGTAACCTTACCAGGAGGCACTGAAAATTGACAACTGGCCCATCTGAGCAGGCATGGTGCAAAAAAACCTTTCACATCCAGGAAAATCTGTTATTGTCATGATTACTGATCCCACTTTAAAGGTTCAAATGGGAAATTTCTGTCACATTTGGGAGAATATGGCATTTGCTCTCCACATACTTGCTCACTCACTACTTAATCAACTGTAACCTCATGAAATAAATTATGCTTGGGACTCAGTCAGACATGGCCTTGCTAACGTGTTGGTCCGTTTCCCATCTCTTTCTCCTTGATGCATATGCCAAATAAAATGATTTCTCCTCACTATTATAATCTTGTGACAACTGCCCCCTAGGATACTGGCGATCTAGAAATACTTGAATAATAGGAAAGAGAGGAAAGGAGAAGAGGAAAAACCAGAAATTGTTCTTCATGTCTTTAGTGCTTAGTAAAATTTTAGACTGGCTAATACTGGCATATTTGGATCAAAACTGTATTTTATAACCTTTTCACCAAATAATTTTGTTTTCTGGCACAATTACTGTATCAAGGAAGATTTAAAGAACTACCAACTGATACTTTAGATTCTAACTTTGACCCTGTTAGTAGTGTGTACTTTTCAAAGAGAAAAATCACAATGTCTGTCAATCATACATATAAGTGGTTTATAGGGAACAGACTGTTAGTCCTCCCCTAAAAAGCAGCATTTGAAACCAGCAGGAAGTACTCAGGAAAAAGAGAACCGATAGCAATGATGACTGTATAACCCCACTGAGGAAAACGAATAACAGAATTGTAAGTGAACAGATAACATTGCATGGTGTAAGATACCACAAAATAATAATAATAATAGTGGAGGGAAGGGAGGGGATAAAGGGGTTCTAATATCAAAGAGTTCAAGAAGAAAGAAGCTTTGAAACTGATGGTGGCAGCAATCATGCTTGATCTAACTGAATTATGGATTGTTAAATATCTGTAAGAGATTTCAATAAAATGATTTTTTTAAAAGAAAAGAGAAAAAGACAAGGCTTTCTACTGCCATAAAGAGTTAGAATCTTAGAAACCCAGAGACAGTTCTACTTAGTCCTGTAGGGTTGCTATTAATCAGAATTGACTAGCTAGCAGTGAGATGAGTTTAAAGACTGTGCATTTTATAACTTTTTATTTGGCCATACACACACAGAGATACTTTTCTTTCTTTTTCTTGGTATGTTCTATGGAAATTTTGAAAGATTTTGTAACCTAGTGATCTCAGAGCACCCTAAGTCAGTGTTACAAAATAGAATGCCATTAGAATAGGGAATTAGTGTTTCCTTCTTTAGTGTAAGTTATTTCTCCTTAGTCTATTAGCCAAGACTTACTTTAACACAAAATTGTAAAACAGTTTATTTGAAAACCTTGGAATAAATGTAGTATTAACGCGTTCGCTGAGTGTAGCATTACTTCTACTCTACCTCTTGCTTTAGGTAGATGTGCAAGTAGACTCCAAGGATTTGCGAGTGGATACCTTTCGAGCCAAAGGAGCTGGAGGGCAGCACGTTAATACTACCGATAGTGCTGTCCGGCTTGTCCATCTCCCCACAGGTGAGCCTGCCCCTTTGATTTTACACTCATCTTTTTCTGTTCACATCTTACATTTGGAAGACAATCACTAAAGTTGCTGATTGAAGGTCCCTGTCTTCATGCTGCTGACACAGAAATACCCCCAGGAGATGGCTCTTAAGAAAAGGAGCTATTTTCACAAAGTTCCAGAGGCTAGAAGTCTGAATTTGGGGCATAACTATGAGGCGGTCTATTTCAGCATCTAGTAGCCTTAGAGTTCTTGGGCTTGGAGATGCACAGATCTGAAGACAAACACAGCTACACAGAGAAGACGCATATGTCGCCTTTCTCCTGTGTCTATTCTGGTGATTTGATTACTCACAAGTGATTAGGTTTAGAATGTTTAGGATCCACCTTACACTGGTTACAACCTCATTATCATAACAAAGAAAAGCTATTTCCAAATAAGAGCGTACTCATAGATACAAGGGCTAGGCAGGAATTCAATGCATGTGGGAGGGGGGGAATGGAGCACCCAATTCAATTCATAACCCCATTCTTCATCTACTTTCTGCCCTAGCTTGTGTCTGAGAGTTCCATGTGTCATCTAGAGTCCTTCAGATAGAGTTTGTATTTTGCTTGTTTTTTTCTTACTGTTTTAGTGCGATTTTCAAAAGAAAGAGATCAACTTGCAATCAGATGTCACTTTTAAATTTTAAATTAATTTTAGTTGATTATTAATGCTTTGCACATTTTAGTTGCAAAAGTTGAAACAGCCTATACACAACAACAGGATAATTTTACAGTTTCTTTTAAGTTTTATTCGTTTTTTTATTCAATAAGGAACTATAAAACATTAGGATGCACACACAGATTTTTCCATGAACTATTTGAGGCCCCATTGTACATGAGCAAAGGAATATAAAACATGTGTAACCATACTTGTGTTAGACAGGGTTCTCTAGAGAGACAAAACCAGATCGCTTATAATTTGATATGTATATTTATAAAGATAGATATATAACACAAGAAATGAACAGTTAAATTATATACAGATAGATAGATATATAATACAAGAAATGAACAGTTAAATAAGAAAGCAGTACAAATGACTCAGTGCAACTCACTCCCGTGAGAGAGTTGTGAGACACTGGCAGTCCTTTAAGTCTTGAGGGCCGCCAGGTAGTCTTCTGTAGAGAGATTCAGATTCTCCCAGCACAGGCAGCAAACAGCAAGGCAGGTCACCAACGGTCAGCCAGATCACCAATAGTCAGTCCCCAGCTCAAGAGATGTAAATTCCAATTGTGTGGCGAAGCCCAGGTCTTAAAGGGACCTCAAATTACAGCGACACAGTCCACAGGTTATGTGTCCCATAGGTAGTGTAGCTTGCAAATGGAGGCACAGAACAAGCAAGGCAGCCCCACACTGGTCCGATGATCAAAAAGCGAGAGACAAGAAAGGCAAGGCTCGCCAAGCCATTTATCTCTTCGCCCTTAAATTAATCCCACATGTATTTATCGGCCAGGCTGGCACAATAAACTAACTATCTCAATACCCAGTAACTATTATTTATGTTTGGTATATTCATTCAGATTATTATCTTTCACATGTATTTGTAAAACATCATTACTCATTCACTACCATTGAGTTAATTTCAATTCATAGAGATACCATAAGACAAATTAGAACTGCTCCTGTGGGTTTCAAAGACTGTAAATATTTGCAGGAGTAGAAAAGCTCATCTTTCTCCATGAAGTGGCTAAACTTGTAACCCACTACACCACCAGGCTCCTCCCAAATATGGTTATATATTCTGTAGCCTCCCATAATTTAATCAATTTACAAATGGTTTGGTTTTAAGGTCATTCAACAAAGATCTGTATTGTTGGATATTGTTATCTTAAAATGAATTAAAGAGAAAAATGAGGGAAAAAATGGGATCAGAGGTAATTTAAATTTTAATAGCTGGGGCAAAATATTTCAAAACATGTTAAAGGATTATAAAACTATCCTATGCACCAATAACTTGCCTACTTATTAAAAAAATAACTTTTATTTCCAAAATTACCTGGAACCAAATTATTTAAGTAATCAAGTGATTCTCTCAGGAATTACTGAGCTGCTAAGAAACTGAGCTAAACATTCTGATCTGAGCCAGTAGATATGAATAGTAGCAGGTGTCTTGGCAAAAATCAGTAGGGTCAGCTGACGAGAAGAGGAATTTATAGGAAAGTTCATGAAAGCCTCTCACTGCCATCTAGTCCATGTCGACTCATGGTGACCCTATAGGACATAATAGAACTGCCCCTATGGGTTTCTGAGACTGTAAATCTTTACAGGAGAAGAAAGCCTCATCCTTCTCCTGTGGAGTGGCTGGTAATTTCGAACTGTTGACCTTGCCATTAGCTGCCTAACCCATAATTCACTATACCACCAGGGCACCTCAGGAATGTCTAGCCATCTTGAAATGGAAATTTTCACTCTTTTGGGTGATGAGCCAAGAGATCTGCAGACAAATGCATGGAAGGTAGAGGCAAGTAACCCCCACCCTAACCATGGCACTGCAGTAAGGCCGTTAAAATTAAGGTGACCAGATGTCCCGCTTTTGGCGGGACAGTCCCTATTTTTAACAATTTTTCCCCCGCATCCCGCGGCGTTTTTAAAACGTCCCAATTTTTGGAAAGAATGCACAACAAGCTAGGGTATATGGTTTTCGGCTGCCATGTGGCTATTTCGCCAAGATATGAGTTTTACCAATGGTGTCCTGCTTTACCAATGTTAAAATCTGGTCACCTTAGTTAAAATGTAAGTTTACACAGAATTCTTAGGTGCTCAAATTCACATACAGAGGTTCTAAGATGTATCTTATCTAGGTAAGGAGGAAACATAGTTTTGGAGAACTTTATCAATGCAGCTGGCTTAAGCTGACAAAATTTAGGGGTAGAGGGGTCAGATTTCAGCAAGAAAAGTGTCTTTTTGATCTCATTTCCCTAAGAGCAGGATTGGACGTGGACTTCAGGTAAGAACCGTACAGCCTGAAGGCTTAAGGGTCACTATTTGGGGCTAACTTTGAGCTAGGAACTGACTAGAAGTTGAACCAAGCCCCTCAAACCCAGAAGTTGACCAGTCAAAATGAATGTGGCTAGCTGTGTTTGATTAGCTGAACTGAGAACTTCAACTGCTGAGAAACACACTCACTCTAAACACTTCCTTTTTAAGGTTTTGAGTAGTCCCTTTCCATTGGTCTTGTTTATATGAAGTCCTTTGTAAAACTTTCACTGTGTGTGTATCCCTGACTTAAAAGGAAAACGGAGAATTGTGGAGTGGGACCGAGAAGGGAGAAACAGGGCCTGGGGAGCCAGCAGTTTGCTTTGTGGGGAGTGAGGCAACTGGAAGCCACTGAAGGCACTGGCAGGTGGCGGGGCCAAGGCTGGGGGTGGAAGTCACCGGAGCATCTGCTGTGAGGCTGCCTGCATCTTCACAGGTGGGGAGGACTTCGGTCTTCACAACCACCCGATAGCACCATCACTCCCCACACAGGGCTTCCCAGTGTGCTAAATCAAACACATCCTTTGCCTTTGTAATCTTTGCCTGGTTTACCTTTTCCCTTTAGTGTGCCCCTCAGATCTATATTCATTTGGCCTCTGGGGTCTAGACACAGTTGACCTCTGTTCAATACTGTTTTTCAGGGCTAGCAGTAGAATGCCAACAGGAACGATCACAGATAAAAAATAAAGAAATAGCCCTTCGAGTGCTGAGAGCTAAACTCTACCAGCAGATGATTGAGAAAAAGAAGTGTCAACAACAAAGTGCTAGGAAATTGCAGGTAAGGTGAATTTCGTGTAGTGATGTAGTAACTATGCACAGTCATCATGAGGTGTCGACATGTAGTATTTGAACGTAAAGGAATATGCTCATTTGTAAATAGGAATAGCCTACATATGAGGCAGCTTCAAAACGTTTGTAGAAAAATTCCATTTCTTCCTGTTTCTCAGTGAACTTTTGAAGCCCCTCATGCCTGAAGACTGAGAGATTATGGCTAAATTTGGATATGCCCGCTTACAAATGAATCGATGAGATGTGTATATACTGAAACTTATTTCACAGTTATTTTCTTCCAGTAGCTTAAGTGTCTTACGAGGAAATTGGTTCTGAATAATAATAATAATGCAAACAACCAAACTCGCTGTCATTGAGTTGCTTCCAACTCAGTGACTCGAGAGGAGAGCGCAGAACTGCCTCTGTGGATTTCCAAGACTTTAAATCTGTATGGGAGCAGACAGCCACCCGCATCCTTCTCCCAAGGAGTCACTGGTGGCTTTGAACCACTGACTTTGTGGTTAGCAGCTCAGTGTGAAGCCCACTACTCCACCAGGCTCCTAAATTATCATTATGGGTATTATTTGGAAATTAAAATTTCAGAGCTTTCATTTTTAAAACTATGCTTTTATTATCAAGCTTCATATGATATCAAAAATAAATTGGCACTGGAAGAAACATTACAGTGATTGCTACTGGTGGAGTCTGAGGACAAGGGTCGGGGGAGATTTCTCTTTCACTAGGTGATGCAAATGGTTAAGGACTCAACTACTAGCTGAAAGGTTGGTGACAGATGATAGAAATTGGCAGGAGGGCAAGGGGACAGGGGGCTGTCCTTAAATATTAATATGATGCATTAGGATGGCATTTGCACACCCAACTGATTGTCAAAATAGATGGCCCAGGAAATGTTTTTGAAAAATGCATAACCTTAGTATCTCTGGGGTCAGGTTTAGGACTATGTAATTTTTCTTAAATTTCCCTTGATGATCCCTTACATTTAGGAATTTGGTTTCATAATGTTTGCTTTAGAAGTTAAGTATATGAGTTGTGGGTACTTAATTTAATGTCTTATTCATTTAAAAAGTGAAAGCAGATGACAGAAGATGTGTGTGTGTGTTGTGTGTGTGTGTACACTAGGAAGTTAGGGGGAGATGACTACAATGAATATAAGTAGCTTAGGGGAAACCGGAAATTATGTGTGGTGTGAGGAAGATTCCAAGTGCAAGGGGTTTCAAAGAAGGAAGATAGCATTTTCTCAGTTTGGACCAGGAAAGACGGGGAAGGTAAAAGATTGTTAGGGATGGGTATTCTTTGAGATGGTGTTTTAGCAGTTAACCAAAGTAAAACCAAACCCACTGCCGTCCAATCAATCTGACTCATAGTGACCCCACAGGGCAGAAGAGAACGGTTCCATAGAGTTTCTGAGGCAGTAAGTCTGTATGGGAGAAGATAGCCTCATCTTTCTCCCTCGAGTCACTAGTGGGTTTGAACTGGTAAAATTTAGGTTAGCAGTCCAATGCTTAACATAGCTCACGACTAGGGCTCCTTAGCAGAGTTAACGGACTCTGGGCTGTTAAGCAGCATTTGAGAAATTCATATAATTTCAGAAAGACCAGATCCTTTAATCTGATCAGAAGTGGGAAGTTAGAAAATGGGATGAATCAAAGGTGATTTCTCCCCATTTTTATCAGAGTATGGCACATAGTAAACTCCCAGGAAATGCTTGTTAAATTGTTGAATGTGAATGTTTCTTGCTTGTGTGAACGAAAGCATATGGAAGAATGCTGTGTTAGTCTGGGTAGACTAGAGAAACAAAGCCATGGACACACACATATGTATATAAGGGAGAGGTTTATATACAAGAGCAATTGAACATTGAGAAAACATCCCAACCCAGTCCAGTCCAAGGCCATAAGTCTGATATTAGCCCATATGTCCAATACCATTCTATAAAGTCCTCTTCAGACTCACGAAGCACATGCAATGAAGCCAAATGCAGGACGATCAGCCAGTGGGTAGAAAGTCTCTGGGTCCAGTGGCATTGTAAGCATCTCAATGCTGGCAAGGGTCTCTCTGTGGCTTCTCCAGCTTCCGAGGTCTGGTTGCGTCCATGTGGCTTGTCTTCTGCAATGTCTCCCAGGGAGTAGCAGAGAGAGAGAGGTGTCTTCTGCATTCAAGGAGGAAGTACTAGATTTCCCAGAATTCTCCGAAAGCCATGCCCACGCATAAGTTTCATTGGCTGTCTCCAGATTGACAGCCTAGACTCCACCCCTACACTGTTCATCCTTAAATTGACACCAGATTAGGTGACTACCACAGATGGACTGAAGCCAAGAGGAGTTGACTGGCATGAAAAGATGATTAATTTGGGACAAGAAGTTGAACCTAGCAAAGAGCAAATTGGTTCTTATTTGTAGCTACACTTTACAAATGTATAGTTTTAAATGTTAAGTTCTGCTTTGTTTAAAAACATATATGTATGTACATACACATATATGTGTCTTTGGGGAAATATGTTAGGTGTCCACTGCAAATACTTTTTCCATTGCAATCAAGGCAATTAAGTTAAAATATAAATTGTTTTTTGTTATAACACAGGTGGGAACCAGAGCCCAATCAGAGAGAATACGGACATATAATTTCACCCAGAATAGGGTCACCGACCACAGGATAGCATATGATGTTCGTGATATCAAGGTAATATAACTGAGTATAAAGATTACAGCCTAGATAGCCCTCTGGGGCAGTTCTACTCTGTCATAGCGGGCTGCTAAGTCAGAATCAATTTGCCAGCACACTATATCACATAATGTTGTAGTTACTGTTGTAAGGTGCCAAAGAATCAGTTCCAACCCATAACAATCCTTTGTACAATAGAAGGAACACTGCACAGTCTTAGACCATCCTCACAATTGTTCCTATGCCTGTGCCCTTTGCTGCAGCCACTGTGCCAATCTATCTCATCAAGGGCCTCCTCTGTCACTGACCCTCCACTTGACCAAGCATGATCCCCTTCTTCAGGGACTGGTCTCTCCTGAAAACATGTCCAAAGTATATAGGATGAGATCTTGCTATCCTTGCCTCTAAAGAATACTCTGGCTGTATTTCTTCCCAGACAGATTTGTTGTCCTTTTAGCAGTCCATGGTACTTTCAGTAGTCTTCTCTTCTGACACTACAATTCAAATGCGCCATTTCTTCTTTAGTCTTCTTTATTCCATGTCCAACTTTTACATGCATATGAGGCAATGGAAATACCATGACTTGTATCAGGTGCACCTCGGTCCTCAAAGTAACATCCTTTCTTTTCAATACTCTAGAGAGGTCTTATACAGCAGGCTCACAAAATGCAAGCTGCCTTGTGTCCATAAAAATGTACAGTCTTGGAAACTGAATGGAGCAGTTTTACCCTGTCCTATAGGTTCTCTAGGAGCCTTGGTGGTGATGTGTGGTGGTTACACGTTGAATGGCTAACCTAAAGACCAGCAGTTTGAAACCACTAGCCACTACTAGGAGAAAGACAAGGCTTGTACCCTGTCAAGAGTTGCAGTCTTAGAAACCCACGGGGCAGTTCTACCCTATCTCGTAGGGTTTCTATGAGCTGGAATCGACTCAGTAGCAGTGAGTCTGGTTTGGTTGGTTGGTTGTTTTGTTTTTGAGATTATAGGACTGAGACCTCGTTCTCTTACTGGCAGTCAGCTAGGGGCTGCTGTAAGCTTTGAAAAACCACTCGAAGTTACTTGACATGTTGTCTCCTCCATATACCTTCCTGTGCTTCAAATCTCTTCTTGCAGGAAAGCTTTTAAGTTCATTTGGTAAATTCCCTTTTTGGTTAACTCAGAGTCAATGGACTGATCATCAATCATGGGAGTGATAACTCATTGTAGTCACAGATTCTGCTAGCACTCAAGGGGAGGGTATTATATGAGTTGTATAGGCCTGGGAGCTTGTTAGAATTTTGCCTACCATAATTTATATTCATTAAATTCAACTGTTACAGTGATGCTATTGATTAAAAGTTCTCATTGAAATGGTTTGAACATCAACCTAATGAAATCCCTTGCAGCCAGGACCACAATGGTGAAAGTCAAAAAAATTCCCATTTGTTTCTGCCAAAGGAAACATTGTTCATGTTTCCATAAATTTGTATTTATGGATATTCAATAAGTTCCATAAATGCCTACTTGGAGAAGACAGGATACTTATTCTCAGTACTGTATTGATTCTTTCCATTGATTCTCTTTCATCTATACTCAAAATCAGTCTTAATTTTATCATGAAAATGTTTTTGTTTTTTACCCCTCCCTTAAATCTTATTTATTTTGTTTTTGTTGAGAACATACCACAAAGCAGTCACTAATTCAATAGTTTTCTACCTATTACTGTTGAGATGATGCACCCATAAGGGGCAGAGCACAGCTGCTCCATGGAGTTTCCAGGGCTGTAAGTCTTTATGAAGAAAGCAGGCTGCCTGAGGGAGGGAGGGAAAATGAGGAGCTGATACCAAGGACTCAAGTTGAAAGAATATGTTTTGAAAATTATGATGAGAACATGTGTACAAATGTGCGTGACACAATGGATTTATGTATGAATTGATAAGAGCTGTACGAGCCCACAATAAAATGATTTTTTTAAAAAGAAAAGCAGACTGCCACATTTTTCTGCCAGAGAGCCACTGGTAGTTTTAAACCATCGACCGTTCCATTAACAAGTGAGTGCTTTAACCACTGCACCACCAGGAATCCCATATTTTCGACATGTATGATTTAGTGACATTAATTACATTCTCTGAATTGTGTACCTCCTCTTCAGAGCTGTTCCTCCCCCATTAACATAAACTAGCTCCACCTACGGTTCCTATCCTTTCAAGTTGCTCTTCTCAATTTGATTCCACTAGATTGTTCCTAAAAGGATGTAATGTGCAAGATACACCTCCTTACTAGTTAACTTGTGCTGCTATTTGGCTCTAAGTAGGCAGGGGATATTTTTGGTTTAAGATTTAAATATTATCTCAGGGCAATAGTTTCAGCCAGCCATCACCCACCATAGTTCCAGAAATTTTTGAGTCCATGAGACTTGAAATTTTGTTCTCCATATTCCCCTTTTGATTGGGATTCTTCTATAGACTCTTTGATCAAAATGGTCAGTAGTAATAGCCAGGCAGCATCCAGTTCTTCTGGTTTCCTGGGCAATCCCGTTTTCCTGGTCTCATGGTAATTCATGGGGACAGCCAGCCTCACATTCCACATCCTCCTGTGCCCAACATTCCCTCTTTCCTTGAGAAATGCCTGTTTTTTATTTTGTTTATTTTATTGGGGTAGTAAAACACTTGTCATTTGTACAGTCTTCATATGTACAGTTCAGTGACAAGTTTGCTCATATTGTTCAACTATTAGCCCATTAACTATTTCTCAATTTGTCTTTTATTCTTAGCGGAAGCCCACTGTCCTCTAAGTGTTTTGTCTTCTGTCCTTGCTCCCTCCTTGCCACCCCTGTTAGCCAATAATCAACTTTGATCTCTATTTACTTGCCTGTACTAGATATTTCAAATATGTATCTAAATCTATAGCTTATGCTACTTCCTTTAACATGTCAGCAATTTAAGGCTACCTTAAGGCTAAGAACATAGGTCTACTGGAGAAAGGGAGAAAATGACTTTCCTTTCCTCTGGGAATACATAGTAAAAACTAAGTATGTTTGTAATGACAAAATATGTGCAGCCATATTGTCCAAACTGTCTATTTTCCATTGTTTTTCTGACAATTTTCCCTGAAACAGTCAATATTTGTGACCAATATTTTTAGATGCCACATAGATGCACACTTTTTATGTATGTTTGTGTAACTTAACATCATATAATGTATATTTGTTACTTAATATCATATAATGTATAACATTATATAATAATGTATAATATAATAAAGACATTTAGATTAACTAGATTTTATAAACTCAAAAATAATAAGGAAAACTGCATTAGCGTGCCTTAATAATCACTAACTAGCCTACTGGAAAAACAGAATGAAGACTAAATCTATCCCAAAGATGAACTTGAATTGATGATCAGATATACATACATACGTGTGTGTGTCTCTGATAGCTCCTCATAAAGATAATTCTTTAGAAATTTTAACAAGTACCAAATAGGATAATTCAAGCACATTTTGGTTGACTTTTTAAATCAGTGTAATCTAATTAGCTTTTCTATGTTCCTCGCTGACCGATGGATTGATTAATTGTCTAAAAGGCAAATCCAAAGAGAAGCATTCACTGCCTCCCTGCAAGGAAATGCAGCTGCTAATTAAAGTAACTCTGCCTATGTGGAGGAAGAGGTTACAGTGTGAAACCCATGGCTGCCAAGTCAGTTCCCACCCGTAGCAAGCCTCCCACCAGGATTTATGCCTTACTCATCCTGAGGACATTCCTCAAAGGAGAGGCAGTGAGCAAAGGTCTCCATAATGTCATCAAAGCCGTGAGGTGAATAAACTCCATGGGGAATACTACTTTGAAAAGTGTACCACTTTTCCTTTCCTCTTATTCTGTTCCACTTACCTGAGTATGGTCTGAGTGCAAGACAAACTGCCGAACCATGTTTATTAAACCCTGTGGTGAAAGGAACCATGAAGAATCGGAAGATACACAAACCTACAAGTCGGGTTATGGAAACAACTATGTGTTCAAAGAAAAATAGAAATGAAAGTGATCATTTAACAGATGTCAAAAGGAAGTTCCTTAGCTCTATGACTGTGTGCATTTGTCAAAACTCATAGAACTGTGTACTAAAAGGATGAGTTTTAATAAATGCAAGTGATACCCGAGTAAACCTGACTTTAAAACAAAGAGACTTGGTCAAACGTTGAGGAAGAACCCAGATGACCATCACCAAGCGAACTGTGGTATATCCTTAGCCTAGGATGCTGCTCAGCAACAAAAGGAACAACCGACAGTACTGACGTATGCGACAACAGGAACGAACTGTACAACATTCAGTTGAATGAAAGCAGCAGACACAAGTACATACTGTATGATACCATTTACGTGATATTTGAGAACTGTGAAAACCAAATGATAGGGATGGGAATCAGCTCAGTGGCTGCCTGGAGTGAAGGAAATGGACCAGAAAAGGCCACAGGGAACCACTGGGTGGATAGAAATAGTTCTAGTTACATAGCAGTATATGTTTGTCAAAGCTCATTAGAGCAGATTTTTTTTTTTCATTTTACTACACACAAATTTTATCTCAATAAAGTTGACCTAGGTTTTCATTTTTAATTTTGAAGGGTAATTCATGAATGATACATTCAGTAAATATACTACCTAACCAGCAGGAAACATAATAGGAGTTTAAGCAATGAGATTTAGAGTAGATGAGACGTTTTTCTCCATGAAGCAGAATTTGAGTTGCTTTGAAGGATTTGGCAGGCCTAGAAAATATAGAGTAGTGTGTAAGGCATTCCACATTAGTAAAGGGAAATGTTTGAAAACAGTATGAATGAAGATGTCTGTAGTTGAAGTAAAACAAACATTTATATGAAGGACAGTAAAGAGACTAGTGGGTTTGAATCATTTAGAAACTGAATAGTTGCAGATGAGACTGGTAAAATCATGGCACCTTAGTCCCAGGGCATCAGCTGTGGGATCAAATGGAAATGGTCAGGCAATATCATTGAGTCGCACACAAGTTAAATTGTGCTGAAAATAACTCAAAAGTGGTTGCAGCAGTACCCAGACAAGGAACTGCTGCCAGACATTCAGGCTGGGTTCAGAATAAAAGGATATCATTGATGATGTTAGATGTATCTTGGCTGAACACAGAGAATACCAGAAAGATGTTTACTTGTGCTTTATTGAATATGCAGAGCCACCTGGCAACAAATTATGGATAACATTGAGAAAATTGGGAATTCCAGAACATCCCATTGTGCTCCTGCAGAACTTGTACACAGACCAAGAGGCAGAGCCGAGCAAGGGGATACTGGATGGTTTAAAATCAGGAAAAGTGTATGTCAGGGTTGTGTCCTTTTATCATACTTATTCAATCTGCATCTTGAGCAAATAATTCCAAAAGCCGAATTATATGAGGGAAAATATGACATCAAGATTACAGGAAAACTCATTAAGAGCTGCCGTATGCAAATGATACAACATTGCTTGTTAATATCAAGGAGGACTTGAAACACTTAGTGATGAAGATCAAAGATTTCAATATGGATTACACATCAACATAAAACATATCCACATTTCATGATGACCCCAATTAGAGCAGCCAGTCCACAGAGTGGACCACATGGCCAGCCCCACTAGAGACATTATGCCCCTCACTGACCCATGGCCCTGTGGGGGACAGCACCAGAGACACAGTACGGGAATTGCATCCCATCTGATCCTGCCACACCCAGGCAAAGCACTGGAGGAGTGCAGCAGAACAGTAAGGGAATGGAGCAGCAAGGTCCCCAGGGAATGCTGAAGGCAGACTTTGGGGCCAGGGCATGGTGCCCCACCAGACTGGACTGGAAAACACTCCTAAAGGCCAACGATCCTTGAACTAACTACAAGCTTTTCT